AGAAAAAGAGAATTTTCCGAAACACATTATAACCTGTGTTTGTTTCTAAGAAAAACATTTCGGGCTCCTCACTAATCTCTATTAAAACTTATCATCAACTTTTACTGTGAATGATGTGTACATTTAAATAATTTCCGTAAAATATTGCACGAAAACCAAATAAAATAGTGTACCTACCTACATATTATTACCATAATAAATAACGTTTAAAATTAAAAAAAACATAATCCTCACTTGGGATCTATAATATTATAATAGATCAGAGCATATATACGGTTTTAGCCTTATAGGTGGATAATAATGTGAACAGTATACATGCGATATTGAATATATTTTATTATTTATACTAAACACCGTCGTCGAGTTAAAAAGTTTAAATAGAACATTCGATTGTATTAATACAAAAAATACAAATATTTTGCGAGCTGATTAGCTTAGACAATTTGGTAACAACCATTACAATCATTACATGGCGTACATTGCACGATCGATATTAATTTTATGTTCAAAAATAATATTATTATATATATTATGTATATTTTTTTTTCCTTTTAATTAAAGCTTCTGAGGTCATTAGCCTGTTACTGTGTGGCAGGGTGCGATTGGTTATGACACGCGTATGTGTAGCAATAGGATTTGTCACCAAAACCTGAGTGATCCGGATGGTCACCCATCCGGAAACTATTGACACCGGACGGTGCGTACACTGAAAACACTTTTCGTGACTGAATGCAAACATCGCACCACAATATTATTTATATTATACTGCTTGAACCTATATGTATGGTTTAAAAATTTAAAAATTATTTTGAATATCAAGTAGGTATTAACTAGTGGTTTGTAAAAATAAGCTATTATAGAATAGTGGTCATTTCAAACAGAAATTAAAACTTTTAATAATGATTGTAATAAATATTAAATAATATCAAATGGAAAAAGATTTCACTCATATTATAAAAATACTATGCTTATACCGTCTTCAAATCCAAGTATTCACCAAAACGTTAACGTATTATAGTGTCATAATATCAATACCTAAAAATCGTAACCACATGGACACAAGCTTCTAAGTATGATATAATTCGTGAGTAAAAATAATAAATATAATTCAATTTTCTCAACGAAAAAGTAGAAAACAAATAATTTCCCTAAGTATTATACTTGGAACCGATAAAATCTATAAAAAAAACCCCACGATTCATCATATATTTAAAAAAAAAAAACGAATGTTGAAGAGAGGCATTTTTGTATTTGGCTCAAAACCAAAATGGAAGCCTTTAAGACTACCTAACAAAATGAAGTTTGTAATCCGTTTGAATTTCGTAATAATTTGTCAGAATTATACATATACGCTAAACGTCAATTGATTTATTAAGTCGGAGGTTTAATCATTTGACATTTTAAAAAGTTAAAATGTATTATCCCTCGTCAAATTATGGAAGTTTTGTTAATAATATTTATGAGCACGTTTTGAGCAAATATTTTAACCCACCCATGCTTTAATATTAATATTGGATTAAATTAAACTGTACAAACTTACATATTTAAATACAATTACATAATTATACAATTCAATGACTGCCTGAAAGTATTTTACTCAGCAAACTTGAATATTATGAATGTACATAATATTTTATGCATGAACAATATTTATATTGTATTTTATTGTATTATTGTTATTTATATTCTTCACAATAGATAATAGTTTTTGTTCGATTATATAATATATTAAACAAAAATTATGCACAGCTTTATAGATTTACCCTATCACTTACAGTATATTTGATGTTTTTTTATAACGGTTTTGTATATACCTATTTTAGATCTGAGCAATCCAATCGATTAACCACGATTGCTGTGGAAAAAATAGTTCTGTGATAAAATGTGCCAAATCAGAGGAAAAGTATCCCGAACTAACCCTTAGATTCAGTAACTCTCCGTAACTGCAAAATATGTTTGTCAGCTGTTTCGTACGATACCACTTAACACTGTTTATTGTATTATTCGTTAAGGACAATAAATTGTGATGGACGGCGCTGCTGCTTTTTGCTTTGCGACGACAAAAGTGTAAGCACATAGTAAAGCACTAAAACGTGATCCTTAATTAGGTTGTACGGCTTACATAACATTCTTAGATGTTTTTAAAATTTAAAATTTACATGTTTGAATATATGGTTATTTTGTCCGGGCTTAGGAACTAGATTTACGTTTTTGTATATAGAGCTGAGGTTTTTAAACTATTGTTTGCTGATGGCGAGTAAAGGGCGACTACGTGATAGTAACGGAAATAAATTGCATAATTTATCACTTTTACAAAAACAACGAATTGTTATAAATTAAAAATTATAAACAGTTCGTACACATTTTTCGATAAATAAATAACAGTATTTCATTAATATTTAAATGTAATATTTTACTGCTTTTTCGTTTTGAATAATTTTGGTTTAAACCATTAGTAGTACGCAAGTGATCTGTAATAAGTATACACATAATACGATAATAATATGGCACCGGACAATAGCCCTAGATATTGTCATATTGAACTAGCTGACACGGCAATGCTTTGGTATTGATAGGTTTTTGTGATTGTTCAACTCATTTTGGGTGTGACATGCTGTGGAAGCGATGACTTTTTAAGTGTAAATTATATTATATTTTAATGTATAGCCATCGCGACCGGCGTTGTCCGCGAGATTCTCTTGTGATTATAATATGAACAATATTTTAACAGGTAGGCAATCTACTTGGGATAGAGCACAGACCCCGCTTGGTATGTATACAGCGTACTTAACATTCTTTTTTGGGGTGGCTGATAAGAATTTTAGCTTACAGAGTCAAGGGTGGGGGCTACAATAATTATATAATAATGAATGTATTTAAGGAGCCATGGGGTGGATCTGTCCTAAGATACACCTCCGTAAATACACCGCTGGAATACGTAAGTGTATAATTTAACTCTAAAGTATCAAAACAATTTAAACAATTTGTCTACCAAAACTGTGGTCCGTACTCGATACATATTACATTATGTACCTACTAAAATACACAAGCTTATCGTATTAATAATAACTATTATTATTAAAAACAATAGCAACCATTTATAAACATAAATAATAACAATCTCAAAAGCCCTGTCTGAGAACCTTCCCGGTTTGAACCTCTTATTTACCTATTTTCGTGACAAAATGTAGCTTATCTTTTTCCTTAAGGTATCATAATCTATTTCTGTACCAAATTTCATGGCAATCGGATGAACGGTCTAGGAATGCATAAAAGACGTAGGTAGGTAGGTAGAAACGCTTTTTATCTGTTATATAATATAATACGTATTATATATGAAGATAAGACGCACAGCTACAGTGGGTTCAGAGTTTCGTTACCTTAGTTACTAACTATTTGCGCTTTCGCGATAATCCTGACAACAATTTTAAGTACCAAATGCAATATAATAAAATATGCACAATATTATAATAATAATAAACATAACTTATCTATGTTTTTTTCCGCTTCTCACTCACTCTCTCCGTTTTGCTCCTTTCAAACAACACATACGTCATTTTCGCGTCCGTAGTATTGGACCGCGCACAGACAAGCCGATGCGGCGGTGGGTCGGCATCAATCCGACGAGAAGTGACGACCAAGACGACGTCGGAAATGCTGTGGCCCTTCAGTGCGGTGATGTGCTTGACGGCCGTCGTGGTCGCGCAGTTGTGGATCAGTCGAGCCGGCGCCGCCACCGCCCCGGCTCGGACGCCACCCATCAAGTGGCTGATCAACACGGGAAACATGGCAGGCCAGTGGCCCCCGACGTCGTGGACCGGAAGAAACAGCTGCAACTACACAGCGAAGCCGAACACCATCAGCCGGATGCAGATGATCCGTGGAGGTACGGCGGCCGTACTGGTCATGCCCACCGGAGACGGCAGCCGGAGGTGTTGCAGTGACGGAACCCTGGCGCAGTTCTCCCTGGGCCTGGTCGACCTCAATCACGGACTCAACAACCTGTACCCGGCTGTGCAACCGTTTCCGGATTGGCGGACGTTCGTGGAAGAGGTCTCGCCACCAGGTGCGAAACCACCGGGGACGGAACCGCCGGTGTTGGAACCCCCGGTGTCGGATGAACAGGACCGGAACTCCACCGAACCGGACGAACGTGCTGAGGAAGTCCCCGCCGACGGCGGCGACGGAGCAAACCGAGGTGGCCACCGGCGCATCATCAACGCCGTGGACGCATTCCTGGACGATCGAGGACGAATCCTGTGGGTCCTCGACTCCGGCCAGGCAGGCGAAGACGCGTGTAACGGCATCATGCCATCTGGTTGTGATGGATCCGAGGCGTCGGATACGGACGATCAGCTGCTGAAACCAAAGTTCGTAGCTATCGACGTGTATACGAACCAGGTACTATAGTATAGATACAACGTTATAATATATTATAATGATGTAGTAATATATAGTGGTCTCAGGTCTGTACGAAATATAACTTACGAGGTTCAAACCACTCGACAGTGTAAAATAAATAAATACCGACGCTTATTAAAAAATAACGCGTCAAACTTGAAAAGTTGAAACTCTAACGTTTCGTTTTTCAGGTCATCGACGTTGTAAGCCTGTCGCGCGTTTGGCGGCCCGGGGTGAGCTGTTTCCAGTACATAGTGTCCGTGTACCTGGACTCCGAAGAAAACAATAACGGCTGTGAGTCAACAGGTAGCGAGACCGCTGGTGGAGAGGTCAAGTGCACCTTAGACTGGCCACTGGTGGTAATCGGCGACGCCGGCACCAATCGGGTGTTGGTGTACACGCACAGCAACGACCGGTTCGCTGAGATCATATTGCCACTGGAAGAAGAACACGATGCGTTCCATGTCGCCGAAAGCAACGGTACAGGCAACAGTAGCGACGGCGACGATGGCGGCCAACCGGACGTGAACAACCCGAAACTTCACCGGCATTCCCGATGGCCAACGCCTCCGATCAGGGATATACTCTACTTGGTCCCAATGTCCATCAAACTGGGTCAAGTCAGGTTGTTGATCACTTACCACGGTTGCCGCGAATTGTACAAGCTCCGGTTGGAACCGTCCACTTCCGATCCGCCGTCCTACGACGACGGTCCCGAGACCCGCGACACGACTCTAGCGTCGCTGTCCCCGATCATCGGTACGCTGGCCGTCCTCGGGCGGAAGCCGTGCCGGATGGTCTTACTGGGCACGGACCGCCGGCGGACGGACGTCGTCGGCGAGAGTTTCGGGGACGGGGGGACTACCTTGTACTTCCGGTTGGAGAACACCAACGACATATGGTCGTGGAAGGTGTTCAGCAGTAAGAAAAAGCTGACCGGATTGCATATGTACATAGACGAACGCGACTTCCGGTTGGTCCGGGTCGGCCGGACGTGTCGCGTGCCAGTCGCGGTTTCGGTGGCACCGGCTGCCGTCGGGAATGGCTGCGCCGGTGACGTGGACCGGGATCCCGAGGCTGTCGAGAAGTCGGCCCCGAAAAAACCGATCCGGCAAATCGTGTGGATGCTAGAGACGAACTTCGTCGATCACTTCGCGGGCACTGCGGACAAGATGGGCGCCAACGCCAAGCTGCAACCCCTCGGAGCTTCGATGAACGACTTGAATGCCGCCCGACCTTTGAGTTTCGACGCTTCGATGCAAACTTTTCCGCTGCGAAGTCAGCCGGCCAACGGCCTCCGACCCCACCGAAATTGCGCTTTAAGGCGACGACGACGAAGAGAGTCGTCTAAACGTTGTAGGGGCCACACCGGCTAATATTAATTGGAAGGATCGATGCTCAAGACGGTGGTTTTTCATTTCCCGTATTCTCCTATACTATGAAATGCCCCAGTAGTTGGAAAATAACAAATCTGATGTACCCTAGTATGCCTCCTCAGGCATTAAGTGAATTTGCATAGTATATGGGCTGTAGATTTATATATTACTGAAATATTAGCTGGTGGACCAAATTTTAAGAGATTTATTTCACGAACTTAGGAGTACATTTTGTCATACGTATTTATATCATTTTTGTACGAAAAATATCAATTCGCTGTACTATTTTATTATTATGTCAAACTGTAATAATTGCGATCTTGTAATATTTTATTCACAGCCGACTCCTATTATAATTGTTAAGAACTTGAAAAAAAAAACAATAATAATATTAGCTATTTAATAAACGTATTTTTTTTGTTGTTAATAAATTGTTATGATTTAAAATAATAATTATATTTTATGTTCACATGTACCTCCGTATATATTATTATGTCTGTTACACAGACAGAAAAAAAAATAGGGACAAGAGATTTTTTTATAAAGTAGGTACTAATTTCCTGTTTAAAGATATAACAATTATTAATGTTATGGTATAAAATGTTGTACTTTCATTTGAATAGCGGATGTAACAGTAATTAAATTTTAATAAAACTAAACCTCAAAACACGAATAAATAAAAAAAAAGTTATATACTTTAATATTCCGAGATTATTATTGATTAACTTATTTTAATAAAAAAGGGCGAAGTAGGTAACAGCTCTGCTGTAAGTAGTGTGTTCTTCTTCATTGAAGAGCGAGTTATTGCAATGCATCTGTATGTGTTAAATTTGAATTTAATGATAAATCATAGCATACGAAAAACGATTCAGAGTTATTAATATGGTCAGTCAGCCTATATTACTAGGCACCTACTGATATTATTGCTATTAAAGTAATTTATTTTACTATTAGTAATACACTATGTATTGAAATAATTTTCGCCGAAAATATTGCATTTGAATATTCCACTGAGTGTATAAAATATTATAATAATAATACTTTATAAATTACAACGAAACAACTAAAATCATTATTTTTCGTTTAAAATTTAAATAACTAATTTCGTTTAAACATAACCTTAAAATATGTATAAAAAATATAATAACAACAAAAACCATAACAACAACTCATTAAAAAGCTTGTACTCAATTTTTAAGCTGAACAAAAAAAATGTACTTTATAGTCATATTATATTGTGCATTATAGTTTTAGAAGTCTACATACAAATAAAATATTTATATGCAGTGGTAATCAACAAACGAAATATTTTAATTAGGTGCCTTATAATACGAAATATGAATAAATTATCTTACTTCACATTCATAGGGTTTTATCACTGGGTATCCTCTCTAATCTAATCATTTCATGTTAACTTTTTTTTATCTGTCTTTTATCAAACCTACTCAATGTACAAAAAAATGTATAGATTGTTGATATATTTCAATACGATGAAAAAAAAAAATTCACATTCGAACAAGACAATTTAATATGGTGGTGGTAATTCAAATACTATTTTTCCATTCCTTTCATCCAAACATTTCGTGCCAAGTAGACTAAATCATGGGCGCCACCCGTTTCGCCCAAAATCAACCTTTCCCGTTTCGCCCAGATACCCGTTTCGACCAAAGTCATTTTAGTAGTTTTCAAATTAAGTTGGCAATGATTTTTAAATAATATAGTATTTTAGTATACCATATAATATTATGCTTATGCACCTATTATAATTAACTATTAAAAAAAAAAATTACATAATATTATAACATATTACTATTTTCTTATATATTCAATAATCAGCTATTTATTTTTTTACATACAATACAGGCATTTTCCCAATTTAAATTAATATTTCAATAAAAACTTTTATTCTAACTCTCCATAAATCATAAGTTGGTTAAATATTATACGCAATGAGATCCAGACAGAAACGTATATCAAAATGAATAGTGTTGAAATTCCCAAAAAAACAAAAGACAGAAATACGAAGGAAAGACAAGAATACAACGAAAAACGTATACTTTTATATAGATCTGGCGAAATTACTAGGTACGAATTTGTAAAAAGCATGTGTAGAAATTTTAAAAAAGAAAATTTAATAACTTAACTTAATTTTTATAAAACATAATAATATATTATATTGTGTAATGCTTTTTTTTTTTAAATAGTTTTTAGTAGACAATAATATTTGTATAAATGTATAATATTGAGTATGTATTTTTTAAAAACTTTGGCAATGACTACAAAAATAAAAACTGGTAATTTGTATTATAATTTTTAACTGTAAAAATGTATTTTTAAATAATTATACTAAATATTAATTTAAATTGGGAAAATGCCTGTATTGTATGTAAAAAAATAAATAACTGATTATTGAATATAACTTAATTTTAGTAGAAAATAGTAATATGTTATAATATTATGTAATTTTTTTTTTTTAATAGTTAATTATAATAGGTGCATAATATTATATGGTATACTAAAATACTATATTATTTAAAAATCATTGCCAACTTAATTTGTAAACGACTAAAATGACTTTGGTCGAAACGGGTATCTGGGCGAAACGGGAAAGGTTGATTTTGGGCGAAACGGGCCGCGCCCTAAATCATAAATCTCTCATGGCATCTATTACCGTATCATTGCAGCTATTCGATAGGAGATTCCATGTCCTATTTCAGTCGAGCGTGTAATGTTTTGTCACAGCTGCAAAGTGGTCGGTAAAAAAATATATGTATGTGACATATTATGTGTTTCTTATAAGGCAAAAAATAATACTTTTTGTATTTTACACGAGTACAACATGACACATGTATATTATAATTATTTTCAATTATTGATAATTTTATTCTAATAATAAATGTACAGGTAGGAGAGTTGTTGATAAATAGTAATCATTAATCACCATAATGTGCTTATACCACTAGGTATATTATAAAATATAGATGATATTAGAACACTACGAAGTATTTTTCATAATATTGGGTTATAATAAGTAGGTATTAATAAGTTCCAATAAACAGAATTTTTGCTATCCTGTCAGATATTTCGTTCAAACATTCTGAAATATTTTATATAGTCTAGTCACAATATGATTAATTTTCAAGAGATTTGATGTATACAATAGTACATTTTTAGGAAACTAAATTGAAGTTATAAATCACAAATGTATTTATATAAGAATACTAATCTAATGTAACTACCTAATAACTTATAAGTGGTAAGTACCACTATTGATAGTTTTTCCAGTAATGATGAAATTTGAGACGGAAAACCCATTTTATGTTGGGAATGGTACAACTATACTAAAGTTGTAACATAATATTATAGGTTACATAACACATTTTCACGAATAAGAAAGAAACAATTAGTTTCGGCCGTGTAATATAATTTTAATTTCTTTGATATCAAGTTCACACGACGTTATAAAGTTTAAAAGAATATAATATAGTATTATAATATTATCAATACATTTTTTTTTCTAAGCGATAAAAAAATTAAGGTACATTGAGTCGTCAAAGCATCAATTATTTCATGGTGAAAATTTGAAATAACTAGAACTATAGTGATACTTTCAAGCACGAAACGGATAAACGTAAACTACTCCTTTAGTCTGTTCAACTATGGTACAGTACACAACCTACAATTATTGAATATTTGAGTGGAAATTTTGATATTGATCTAGAAATGCAACGTTCAATAAACTAATATGTTTAAGGGGATTGCAAGCGGACAATTTTCAAGGAGTCCAAAATGGGCAATTTTCAAATTTTATGCATGTGGATCTTGTAAATGTATGCGTAGTAAGTGATCACTAGTGTGAGTGACTTTGTGGCAGCAAAATATTGGAGGTCAGACGCACAAGCACGCGCACTAAGTTGGGAGGGGGTGCTAAGGGATTTCAGATATTTTACATATTATTCTAACTGTTTGAAACGTTGACAATAAATATGTTCAGAAATACAATTTGTTCAAGCAATTTACATTTCAAACCGGTGATGCCACTCAGTGCCCAAACACGGGTAACAACTGATAGCAGCTTGACAATAGTCGAACGACCATTGGATGTGCAAAGGTCTTAACCACTGGGTTTTCCTTATTTCACCGTCATATATCCGTTCGTGAGTCTTTGCCATGTCATGACGCTGTGAAAACAACTTCCGATTTCCTACAAGTGGTCGTTACGACTCTAACAAGCGTGTGTTTTTTTTTTCAGTTAGCTCGTAGGTTGATTAGTGGTTAATACGATTAATTATTAATTTTTTGCTCAAAAGTATCAATAATTCTTATCAGCTAGACAAAACCGGAAGGCTTTAAACGGTCGGATTTCAATTCTAAAACAAGATCTTATTTACTTGATTTGTCTATAATAGTGATCGACCGAGGGTTTTTTTTCTTATATAAAATTTAAACTATTACAAATGTAAAAAAAAAACAGTTTTTAATTTTAAATATCCCGACCTTTATTAACTGAACGAAAAAATTTCCCCAACTACTTAACTAGTAAAACAAACAACAATTTCAGAAATAATATCCGACCACCCAAATCTCCATACGAATGTTTCACTTTTGGGTCACTATTACTATTTTCACACCGGTATATCCAATCCCCTTAAAGATTAGGTACTAGATATAGGATGTTTTCTTGTCAAACACTGAAAGCTCTCTTATCGAAGAAAGAATAAATTATTTTGTTCAAGTTAGAATTAATGCCCATTTTGTGGACTCTGTGAAGGAGGCCGTTGTTTCACACGCGGTCAAAAGACTTTTTCACATCTAAAACGACCACCACCGATCGAATGTAGTATTTGACATTTTGTTGTTATTGCTGTTGTTTCTGCAAATAAACATTATACAATGCAAAGTTGTATGTTGGCAACACTTTAAATATAATAGAGGTGTATTTGGAATATATTCTGATAGGTATGAGATTTTAGATAAATATGACTTCTTTAGGACTCAACCAGTCAACTATGTAAGGAACATTACAAGATATGAGTAACAAATTAAAATGTATAGTTAAGCTAACAAAGACATGTGTTGCACGTACACCGATACCAACTTTGATGAACACACAACTAACAATGAATGCGAAGTAACCACCACGGTAGAAGTTACCACAACGGTACAGCCTCAAAAATAATTTTGAACTATATAAATTTATTTTTAGATTCTCTTTTGAGTGGATCGATTTTTAGTTTTTTTAATCTTTAAATATCGCTAGATCAAAAAGCTTAACAATTCAATACAAGTATCTCATAAGTGGTTATAATACAGTTAAAAATATTAAAGATACATTAACACGATATATTATTTTCTATACCTAAGCATTAAGCATTTATATTTTAAATTTTGACAAAACTCATTAATATCACGAACATTTTAAAATTATTTTTGATTCGTACAAAATTAGATATTTAAGCAAAAAATAACAATTTTAGTTTATGTTTAATTTGAAAACATTATTCTTGGATACTTGAAACTTTTAAGTTGTAATGTACCTTTATTAGAGTAATTTAAAGGAACACACTTTAGTATTTACCAGACATTTCTATAACCTCAATTTTAGATATTACTCGTTGGCACTTTTTTTTATTATTATTAATTATAGCAAAACTACCGAATATTGAGCTACTAATTTATTATTATACAAATCACACATAGTGACAGAAACGATAATAACAGTTGCATAACAATTTGAACTTATTGAACTAATAAACTAATATACGTAAATACATTAAAGCAATCTTGAAATACAATAACTCTATAATGGCATTATCGAACGTTACCGGTAACATGATCAATTGTTTTTCCAAGGTCAATGAAAAAAAAAGAAGTTTCACTTTAAAAAAATAATTGTGTTTCATGAGTACTCGAGTGGGAAGTGAAACAGTCTTTCGAAGTTGTTGGGTTTGTGGAATTTTCAAACCAAAATCTACGGTTACTTGTAATTGAATTAGATAAAACAAAATACCAGAAACCGAGGAGAAATAGTATAATTTTATGGATGAATATTCAATGTCATAAAAATTTGAAATCCAAAAGCTCATAATAAATTAATGAGATTCCAGTAAACTTTATTTGTATTATGAGTATAAAAACTTATTGAGAAACTTTTATTTAGTTTTATAACCTTAGATACGAAAAGAAAAGCTTAACCTACAAAATAATTTGCGAATTTTTTCAGTTGTCGAATTTCTGACACTAAAAAAAAAGACATATTGTGCTGACTGTTTAACTCTCCTCATGTTCTGAACAAGAGTCTGCCACAATTATTTAGGGAATATTTGTACTTAACGGTTCTTATCAATTAAATAGGTAGTATAAAATCAATATGATACCATTTATTTTGGTTTGAGTCTTATCAAATCCTTTCTCTATAACTGTAACCTCTTCAAAAATTGAACAATTGATTCTTATCATCTTTTTTTTCACTCTCGTTTATTAATAGTATATTATGTATTCTACTTCCCTTGTCCTCAAACCTACTTTAATTTGAAAGTGAATATTTAATTAGATATCATCTATTTAAAATGTTGAATGGATCTTATTGAAACGGATATATACCTACCGTAAGTCCATAAATAATATAGAAAAATCTCGAACGTCTAATCTCATCGTTCCTTCTGGAAATTGGTTCGTAAGAACAAACCCTACTCCAGAGGTACTAGCCTTGATATTCGATCGTCCACCGTTGTTGATGCTATTCATTAACTCCCTTATAAAAAATAGCTCTCTAACTTCTTTACTTACTCTACGAAATAGTACTTATATAACGATTCCTCAATAACGATCTTCCTTGAGTTTCATTACACTTGTTGGCTCTAATGGTGTTCCGGGTGATTATTTGTTTGTTGATGATGGATTCATTCCCTCCTTTTTTTAAATTAGTTCTTCATCTTCTCTATTTAAATCCGGAAACCCTTCAAAAGTTGAAAACATCCACCATATTGCTAATCTGTCTTATTTTACCCAGTCTTTAGTCCTCTTTAATTACCTTTTATCTGACAATCATCTTGGTATTCATTCTCGTTGATAAACTATTATAAGCATGTCATTTTTTATTCAAATCCTTCATTATATATATTTTTTGTGAACATTTTCAAGTTTTCTTGCTACACTAATTTTTCCATGGTATTTGATCGAATATACCATAATGTTCTTGGTAATACATTATTTAATTCCGGGTATAGTGAATCTTTGCTTTACTGTCTAATCTCCATTTTGTTTGAAAACAAAAATAGATTAATTGAATGGTACTTCACCCCCTTAAATGGACCAATAGACAATAGATATTGAAACAAATACATTGTATTAACTTCTTTTCTGCCAGAGTGCCAGCTATAACTTCCACAAAAACCCTCGTATTATATTTATACCTATGTATAATGATTTTGATACTGACCAAAAAAAAAAAAAAATTTTAGATAACCTACAGTTTCATATATTAAGTTAATATGATGTTGGAAGTCTACATATTACACAAAATATACAACTTTAAGTTTAAACAATGTTTATAGTGGTGGTTAATTCCTATACCTACATAGACAAATACAGTATTTTAATTGCATTTTTTTAATATATTAATAAAACTTTAATACGTATATAACAATTAATACTGCGACAGTATACTTTTGTCAACGTTTATTTCGATGATGTAATGTACATTGTATAGTTTGATTTTGTTTATCAGTTTCTACTCGTGATAAATATTAAAATAAATATAAATAAACTAATACACAACATAAAGTACCTTAATTATTATACAAACATTAAAATATAATTTAATATGATGGTGGTAATTTAAACACTGTTTTTCCATTCCTTTCATCCACACATGGCACACGAAGTATATTGAAGTATAAAGTTCCCATGAGATCTCCGGTCGAATGATTTGCCTTTTTCAGGCAATTGTAAAACGTTTTGTCACAAATACAATGAGATCTGTAAAAAAAAAAATGAAATGTGTTCTTCAGTTTAATTTGTCTATATAGAACTCCTAAAAAATCATTATAGTTACCCTATCAACAAGGATCTATACGTTTTTATTACTTTCATTACTTTTTAGATTGTGCAACACGTTTAGACTAAACATGTATTAGGTACATAATACCATTGATTAAATAAACTATATTTTGTGTGCATAATTAATCAATGATAATAACCAATAATAAAATACTTAAATATATTTATTTACGTTATTATCTTCGGTAATGCAAGTGCAAGTAGTGCAACTACAAATTTCAATAACAATTAACACGTTCATACAATTGTAAATATAAAAATTAAAAATAAATATCACTTCTGTGTGATTCGTACACAGTTAATAATAGTAAAATATTATAATATTTTGTATTTTAAATCGTAACTATAGTACTTACTTTGTGTACATGGAATCGTTGGTGATGTTGTATCTAGTAGCATAAGATCTGACTTTTGATGGGCACAGATCGTGGGTTCTACAACACATGTCCAGTTTGACCTCTGATCCCAAATCAAAATAGGTTGTAGCTAGATCCCCACTACCACACCATTTAGTACCTAAAAACAAATACATAAGCTTAGTAAATAAGTACGAACTTCTAGTCCCGAATTTTACATTTAGATATTTTTACATTTAACGTTTAACTGTTGACGATTTTTTTTTTTGAGAAATTGATTATTATAAGTTATTTTTTTAAAACTAACTACCTATTTGATGATAATTTCAATATATTTTCTGTAAGTTAAATATCTGTAACTTATGTTTATTTCTTGTCTGTAAAAAGGGTTCGTCTATAAGGATGAAAATAACTAAGCAATAATTAAAATAGGCATAGAATAAATTAATTGTTATCAACACCAACACGTCTTTAAAGCTAAGTATGTTCAAAATGTTTAATATGCATAATATATCCTTATTTTCGAGTATTTTTTGAGAAAAATTGCAATAAATATGTTACGGTTTTTCATAAAAAAGTGTTCTTCTAATTTTTATTACAGAAAGAGCTCATTTTAGAAGTCCGACCAACCAATACGGAAGTACTTAACACGAACAAGATCGATCTCCCTACAAAAGTAATGAACTAATGAATAATGATTGTAAAATATAAACGTTACATCCATTCTAAAAACAATTAATTATTAAAAACGTCATAATGATAGCTTAATTTTTCTGCATCCGTACAACAACAAATAATTGTTTATAGAAACCGTATAATTAAAATAAAATGCGTAAGAACTTAAACAATTTTTCTATTTATATTGCGAAAAAAATACATTTCGATTTGAATATTGATATATTAATGTCGTACAACTATAATTTGAACAAATTGACATTCACTCGTCCGGTGAGACGGTGACTGAGTAAAATGGTTTTGAAAGTGATATGCAATCGGCCGGTATACTTTGTACTCGGAATAAATTGCAAGCGTAACATTTTAGTCAATTTGTTATGTGTACGTACAAACATTAGTGAAATTATTTAACTATATATATAATTATAATATAATTATGTACCTGTATAACATCTGAAACGCGTTGTTAAAACTCTGTCAGAGTACTTTAGAAAACAGCGTGCCGCTCGAAAATTCGTAAATTGTTACATTAGAGGTGTTCGCTAATCGTTGGAATAATAATAATAGTCGGTTAATTGTTTCGATAATAGCTTATAATGCTATAAAGTGTTTATTGATTTACCCTTCGTAACTTATACACAACATTGCAATATTATATTGTATAGTTAAAATAATTGTATTATATTATCGTAATCCACTATTAATTGTTCTAGATCTCCTAGTCAATAGTCACACGTGTATAGTATAAGACGAATACCTACACGACATCATGGGAAAACCAATTTCCACACATAGGTACACACACATACTGTTACAATATTACAATAATATGTTATTATAACTATATTAAATGTATACACAAAAAGAAATGCATTTATTATTAAGTACCTATAGGATAACGGTTAAGGACGGTGAGATTTTTTAACTCCTTTGACGCCATCAAATTCGCAATGCTGAGTTTAAAACGTGTGACATCACTGTACAAGATAATATTTTCTGGTGAATTTTCGTTTTCACTCGATAATGTTATTAAGTCACACATTATAATATAATTTATAAAGCTAATTAAAGTAAATATGTGAATTTTCATACGTCATAATTACATGCATAATTAATTAATATTGTAGGAACATATTATTACATGCATCATAGATTCATATAGCTAAAAATTAATAACCAAATAGGTATAAGTCATTATTATTTTATAAAAAAACGTTCTTCATTTTTTACAATTTAAAAATTGGTTAAATGGACAACCTTCACCCCCCCCCCCCCCATCATAACCATGTTAGGACTCATGTTCAGAACCGAGGTAATAAAGAAATACATCTGAATAATAAGAATGAAATAATTGTATGGACAAGTTTAATACGTCTAAATGTTCAGACAAGCTATGGTAAATCATCGTCTAATTAAAAAATAGTTATGATCAAAACAAAAAAGTAATTACCGAATCATCCTAATTATTCCTCCCAGTACAATATTATAGTAGGGGAATCATTTAAATGTTTACAACAGAGGATATTTTAAAATATATAAGCAAGTTGTAATTGTAAACCTACTTTTGATAAAAATAAATTTTAAATTGAACGATTATGTACATAAGCATGTAGGTAAACATCATTATTTTATATGTACACACCTGTTACACACTAGAATAAATCTCATATTTATGACCATTTACATAACTGCTGTATATACATTTAGATAATTATAACATTTACAGTACTTATAACTAGTATTGTGGTATAATAATTGTTCTATCGTATTTGTATTGTATTAATTATTCCTTATAATTATTCCATGATTAACTTCAGGCTTGTACCTTCCCCACGTGCCCATCTAGGGCACTCAAATTCCAACCTCACGTGCTGTTGAATATCTTGGGTTATCTCTAGAGTCTAGACAGACCGTAGACTAAGCTGGGCCCAGCCAATTAAAATAACTGAACGACTCAATCGAAATTCTTGATTACGCCTACTCAAAACATTTGTCAATAGTAACAAACACACTAACATCAACTCTAAACTGCTCATCTATAAATCCGTAATTTAATCGGTCTGGAAATTGAAACGTTTCAAAATATAGTAAATCCCCCCTCCCTATTACGTCATGAACTTTCGAAAAACGATATACATTCCGACCTAAAATTAAAGTTAGTCGATGAAGAGGTTAAAATAGGTACATTATATTACCAATTTTTCCAAAACTGTCGTAGAATCCCACTAACGGATGACTGCTCACATCAAAGCTTATCACAAAAATATTATCTATATTTTCTTGTTATTAGTTTATTATTATTATGAATGTGATAAAATAATATATTCAGAGTATAACAGAAGGACTTAACAAATTAAAATAAATTTTGTTCGAGTCAATACTTAAACACTTTGTTTTATAAATATAATCTATGGACACTAGAGCTACAAGTACAATAATATATAATAATATTATTTTATTATTTTATTTTTTAATACAGAACATTTTTTTTTTAAATTTAAGTTGGTTATATCTGGAATTGGGAGGATTTAAAATTTCCCATTTGTGAATCCAATTTTTAGAAAAACAATGTCGGCAAAAAGTAAAAACATTTGTTTAAGTCGAGCAGTTAATTTTTTCCAATTTCAAAATATCAATATTATTTCGGATTAAATTAATTTGAAACGTAGATAGGTTTTTAAGGGGGCTGCAACCCTAGACCAATTCATTGATAAAATATCTAGGTTTCTTAGGAAGTCGATTTTAAATTTAAAATTAATTTTAAATAACCATTTTTTTTTTTTTTTTTAGAAATCCCATGAAATAATTGCATTACATTTGTATTAACTTTGGGCAAATCTGATTTTAAATGAAAAAAAGTGATTCCATAAAACATATTCTAGAAGTTGATAAATTCAACCATTTTTTCGAAATTACAATCAAACTTCGGGATGCATGATTAATTTACTAACGCTTTTAGCAGTTCTATAGTCGTGTAAACAAGAATATATTTCATTTTTCGCGATGTATTGACATGTGTGTGCATGTGTGAGAGTTGCTTCCGGCCCTGTAGCCCAACTCGACGTGCAGTGATTCTCGGAAACAATAACGGATTATGCACACTAATGTTCATTTTCTACTCACACACAGGTACAGTATTAATATTTATATGTCACATGAATTGCCTAAATAATACTCCTTGAAATATGCTAGCCCCCTCAATAACTTTTTTCAAAATATTGTTTTTGGAAATTTCCTGACATAAGCATCTGTATTTCTTAAATTATTTACTATCCGTATAATTTTCATAATTTTTTTCATACGTTTAACTAGTGTCAGTTCTTCTTTCTATTCGTTTGGTCTTTCTCCCATATTAAAGATAGTATTAATTTTAATCGTCATATTTTTGTTGCACCCAGTATGTATAATAATATGTATCCAACCCTTAACACATAATATTAAACTATTTTTAACGCGAGTCTCGCGGGCTCTCTGGTTATTTTTTATACTTAACTTTACTTACTTTTCTATGATTTTGACTTAAGTTTATTAATCAAAATTACCTATATTATATTGGTTTCATTTAAAATTAAAACTGTTACCTATTATGTCTCGAAATATATGCCCCCGGTCACGAATTAAGATTATTATTATTCTTTCCCCTGGATGATTTACATACCACACCAAACGCTTACGAATTGCAACCTTTCCAACCTTTCAAACGTTGGCGTTCATACTGCGAAAAGTTTTCCGCTATAGAATTTGCTCTCTGTGTCACTATTTTATTAAACCCATATTATTTTACTTTATACACCTACGTCAGCGTGCTCCGATGAAATATCAATACATAAATCGATAAACCAAAGTGTTTTGTCGTTAAGGCAACTTCCACTACCATACCGCGACCTGACTACCTGCAACGGCCACGTCACCGCAAGTCGCTACATTGCGCTGCAGTGTGTCGATATAATTTAGATTGTATAATAGATATTTCAGGTAAAGAAAAACACAATATTATCACATGAACTTTTATAATACACCATATAGGTGCGTAATATTATTATACCATATGTAATTATTATTTGCATACAATTTATATTGGAGAAACCGATCGTTTTTAAGGGGTTCAGTATAGGCAATTTTCTAAGCAGGTCGAGTAACCTGTGCGCGGTTAGTGATAATATTAGTGCGTGTGAAAGAAAAATCAGAGCGTTCCCGCTGCTATAATTTAGGTAAATAATAACATATTATACCTTTTATATAATAAGATCCTTTTTGTCAATCCTATCCCGATGGATCCACTAATGCAGGGATCTCCAAACTACGGCCCGCGAACAATTTTTAACCGGCCCGTGGGCCGCATAGGTAAATATAGATAAAAAAATTATTTCAAAAATGCATTTATATTATATTATATTTATACCTATTTATTTTTATTTAAGTATATTGTAAAGTAAACAATATTTTATACAAAAATATAAAGTAAACATATTATTTATATAGGTAGGTACCTATATTATCATACAATTAAAAATTATATGTGTTGATAAACTTTTGGCCCGCTAAGAGCATTGGATTATTTTTGTGGCCCTTGAATAAAAAAGTTTGGAGACCCCTGCACTAATGCGACGAGCACGTCTTGTTCGTATTAAGATTTCTGGAAACTAATTTTAATTCTTCAATATGTCGTCTAGTTCACTTTTTAATTTCATACACTTTTAATATTCAAACCATATAAGAATTAAATTCAATATTATAATCGTTTATACTCATTGTAATAATATAATAATAATGCAGGAATTGAAACCGATTATTGGATACCGATTTTGAATACCGGTTTAAACCGTTAAAAAACCGAAATCGATACCGAAACCGAAAAAAACCAATACCGGTAATCAAAATCGAAATCGAAAAATATAAAAACCGGTATTCAAAATCAAAAACGGAATCAGAAAAAATAAATACCTATATACAAAACCGAAAAAACTGAACACCGATAACCGAAACCGAAATCGGAAAAAATATTTACGGTTTCAAGCCTTGGGTATATTACAGTACGTACTTTATACGTACATTATCGTGTGGAGTATATTCAAAATATTTAATATGGGACGTAACTCACTGAACTCGAAATCAAAATATACGTTTTGTCAAGGGGACTCATTCAAATACTTGGCGCTATCTGGCGGTTACATGGTAAAAAACAAATCGTTATTTTGTGAAACATAATAATTAATATTATAAACGAACCTGGTAGTATTCCCGAGTACAGCGAACTGGACGTAGTCGTTTGGACGCCGTTCGATTTCATTTCTTTGCCACCATCGACTCCACGAGCGTGCAGCCTCACCTCTTCCGGATTCACTTGGTGAGGGTCCAACAGATCGCATTGGCCAATCAGTTTCATCATTTGCTCTAGGGTGATCCGCAGTGGCTTGTTGATTCTCGTCAGATTTTTCAACATTTCTTTGCCTTCGTCGTCGTTGCTAAAAATATATAATATTTAATTGTTAGCTTTATACATAAATAATATAAGAGATTATCGTTGTGTGTAACAATAGGTATTAAAATATAAAGAGTTTTAACGACGGGAAAAAAATGAGATTCCCGGCAAACGTGTTAGAGTATTATTTTGTTGGGTACTTTTCTATAATTTTGATAATCGATAATAATCGTAAAATATATTATAATAAAAATCATTATCAGTTTACTAACACAATGATAATACATTGCTTATAATATGGAGACCAGGAGCTGATATAGGCGAGTTTAATACAATTTTGAGAACATTTAAAACTTAAATTAATATTCAATATTATATTTAAACGTCAAATCAACCTAATTTGCAAGTATTCCCATCATTTTTTAGTCGTTTCGCAATATATTATGAGATTAAATAAATCATTATAGAAAGAGGTTACGCGTGTATAAGAACCGCATCTGGAAGTGAGCTATACAAGCCTACGACATTCATTCTTGAAACCAAATTGAATTTTATTTCCTTGAAATCGTTATTAAAAAAAAAATATTGTATTATATTAAAATCCGTAATTTGTATGCTTTCCAGCGGAAACCAAAAACAATTTGTTAGAATGTATTAGTTTCCTCTTGATGTCGGCCCACTGTTTGTTTTCCCTCTGTCTGACCCAAGTTTACTAACACAATAATAATACATTGCTTATAATATGGAGCCCAAGAGCTGATATAGGCGGGCTTAATACTATTTTGAGAACATTTAAAACTCAAATTAATATTCAATATTATATTTAAACGTCAAATCAACCTAATTTGCAAGTATTCCCATCATTTTTTAGTCGTTTCGCAATATATTACGAGATTAAATAAATCATTATAGAAAGCGGTTACGCGTGTAAAAGAACCGCATCTGGAAGTGAGCTGTACAAGCCTACGACATTTATTCTTGAAACCAAATTGAATTTTATTTCCTTGATATCGTTATTAAAAAAATTATTATTTTGTTTTAAAATCCGTAATTTGTATGCTTTCCAGCGGAAACCAAAAACAATTTGTGGGAATGTGTTAGCTTCCTCTTAAGAGGATGTCGGCCCACTGTCTGTTTTCCCTCTGTCGGACCCAAGTTTACTAACACAATGATAATACATTGCTTATAATATGGAGCCCAGGAGCTGATATAGGCGAGTTTAATACAATTTTGAGAACATTTCAAACTTAAATTAATATTCAACATTATATTTAAACGCCAAATCAACCTAATTTGCAAGTGGTCCCATCATTTTTTAGTCGTTACGAAATATATTACGAGATTAAATAAATCATTATAGAAAGCGGTTACGCGTGTAAAAGAACCGCATCTGGAAGTGAGCTATACAAGCCTACGACATTCATTCTTGAAACCAAATTGAATTTTATTTCCTTGATATCGTTATTAAAAAAAAAAATATTGTATTATATTAAAATCCGTAATTTGTATACTTTCCAGCGGAAACCAAAAACAATTTGTTAGAATGTATTAGTTTCCTCTTGATGTCGGCCCACTGTTTGTTTTCCCTCTGTCTGACCCAAGTTTACTAACACAATAATAATACATTGCTTATAATATGGAGCCCAAGAGCTGATATAGGCGGGCTTAATACTATTTTGAGAACATTTAAAACTCAAATTAATATTCAATATTATATTTAAACGTCAAATCAACCTAATTTGCAAGTATTCCCATCATTTTTTAGTCGTTTCGCAATATATTACGAGATTAAATAAATCATTATAGAAAGCGGTTACGCGTGTAAAAGAACCGCATCTGGAAGTGAGCTGTACAAGCCTACGACATTTATTCTTGAAACCAAATTGAATTTTATTTCCTTGATATCGTTATTAAAAAAATTATTATTTTGTTTTAAAATCCGTAATTTGTATGCTTTCCAGCGGAAACCAAAAACAATTTGTGGGAATGTGTTAGCTTCCTCTTAAGAGGATGTCGGCCCACTGTTTGTTTTCTCTCTGTCTGACCCAAGCGCATATCATAGCAAATTGTACGTTCCCAATAATTATGATTATAATCATAATAATTTCTAAAATTAGAGTGAAATTACCTATTATAAAATTTAAATGTGATATTATTATCTAGGACATCTCATAGGCGTTTAACTATATTTTAGTTTTAAAACGAGTTGTGAATATTCTAAGATGTACAGAACAATTTACAATTTTAAAATACCTACAGCTTGATGCAATACCACTGATATAAATTTGATTTAATTCATTCGTATCAGGTACTGGAGGTATAGTACGCATAATTACACCAACCTAGCTATTTTTCCAAAGTGATTAGGTACCTACGACTATGCGTCCTTGATACTCGTTCATGGCCCATTGTCATTCCGATTGTGTTTGTGTGTATAATAGATTGGTACAAATAAACAAATAAATGATTTTTGATTTTTTTTCTTTTATGATTTTCGATTTGACAAACTGTTCATAATAGTTTTGGCACACGGATAGTAAATTGCAATTCTTTCTCACGAAATTTATCAAAGGATAATAATATTATTATGCTCGTCACCTCGCAAGGACGATAACATTCTATAATATTATTTTATCACATTATGATGCACAAAAGCTATAATTAGATTTTCTTTCGGTTATGGGTAGGAGCCGTTTTCAATGTTTTATTCCGGAAAAAAAAATACTCAGAACTCTGAAGACGCCCTACTCATGATGTGTAAATTTGTTAATTATACCTAAACTTAGTTGTCTTGGTTCAGCTGTTGTCTCTTAGTATTCCATCGTGGTAAGATAGTTTTTACTTTTTCATTATATAAAATTAGTAATAAATAAAAAAATCATTAACAATATTACTAATTATCCTGACAAATGTTTGTAAAAAAAATTATCAATAGTAAGAGTTTTCATTTCACCGATAAATTAATAAAATTAAAACAGTTTACTAATTTAAATGGAAAAATTAGTACTTAAAACAAATTATTTTCTTTATAGGTTAAAAAGTAAAGTAATCTTATTAAAATAGTATCCTCCTTAAGTATTTTCTTGCTTTTACCGTTTTAAATAATTTAAATAACAACATTTTAGAAAATAAAAATTATTTAAATGGACTGATATTTTAAAAATATCAAATGAAATTGCTTTTGTAGAAAGTACTCATTTCTCCCTGTAATATTAATTAATAAAAATAATTTTGTTTATTTTTATATTATATTATTTATAATATATAATATATTTAGGTGTATTATACCAGTCACCGTTGAAACATTATAATAATATCATAAATCATAATATTCATAATAGGTACCTACACATTTGTAAGAACACAAAACTATTTATATGCAATAAATTACAGTAGAAAATATAAAAAATCTACACAGAATGATTGTGATTTAGATTTTCAGTATTCTGTTGAATATAATTACGATTTCTAATGAAAATCGATCGATATGCAAATTGTATTATTGTAGGTCGTTCTTATAGTTAGATTAACTTATACTTTTTACAAAAAACTACTAAAAAAAAAAAAAATGCATTACGTATATATTATTATAATAAAATATAGCTATATTATATAATTGAAGCACTTTGATGAACTTTTACGGGGCCCGCCAACAATATGCAGGGTTTCCGATAAAAATTCGCTCTTGGTTCATAGTGATGATAATAATTAATATTATAATGCCTAACAGAATCACTTTAGTCTCGCATAAAATTTAAAATTTCGAAACTAATATTGTTTTGTGAAACGCTGAAACTAAAATAAAAATGTACCTAAAAGCATCAACAAGACGTTTTTGAAGTCTGTACCTATAATAGCTGCAATCTGTGGTTTTAAAATATTCAGGTTTTTGGTAGTTATAATAACTAAAACATAATTTTGGAAAGTAACTAATAAAGTATCATTTTTGAACACGAATCGCGTGAATTCTCAATATTTTACTCAATATCACATGCGCCATGGCGCCACGCTCGATGGCAGTCCAATAGTTGTATACTCATTATATTATTATTATTATTATTATTAGGCCAAAAGGAAAATGTCAATAATACCTATACAGTCTGAAATAACAAATTAATTTATTATTATGATTTGTGATCGAGCTGCTGATTTTCAAAATGTCTACAGATCAACTCACATGCACGATGCATCACATGCTACATTATAATTTACAACACACAATAATATATGAATATCGACGCCAACCGGTTGTTGCGACATCGACCTGCAGCTTACTCCATTTCGGACTTTCGTAGATCCGATTTTTAATTTACACGCCACGTTATTAATATTATTATGCTGTTAATGGGTTTGCGCAACGTTGTGGTAAAACCGTCGTCTCGTTAAGTTTCGGAATCGAATGACCGTGAGACGATTGCATAGGTCAGTGATACGACGGCGTGGGATGATATTCCATTGGCCGATATTTGTGTTTGTGATATTTTACTTGATATTTTCAAATATCATCAATACACAGCAGACTTCAATATTTACTGTCCAAATATTGCTCCCAATCAAGTAAGCATAATATAAGAATGAACAATTTGTACATTTGTAATTTTAATGTATCGATAAAGTAAATAAACACGATATATTATAATATATTATTTTTAATTTAAGAGGATGTCAGTGAACTATTTGTTTTATCTCTCTGACCCGCAATCAATATTAAACAAAAAAACCTAAAAAAAATTAATTATAAAAATTATACATGGTTATCCATTTCTTTTAAGCTAAAAGCTTGTGTTAGAGAACAATATGAAATGTAACGAATTTAAGTTTAGCAGAACCCTGTGTTATTAGTTTTAATATAATACAGCGAATTCACCTATTATCAAACTTTGGGTTTAGAACATTACCTGCGTTGGATATTTTATGATATTTTTATTCTCGTGTAAGTTATGATAGCGTGTAAATAATCAAAATTTAAAAATTCATATAAATTGTGTAAAATTATCGTAATAAAGCCTGCGTGGGACGATTGCATAGGTCAGTGATACGACG